ATTCATACTAAATTTGAACCGTTTCCCGATTTTCCTAAATTCTTTCTCCGGACACAGTTTAAGCGGTGTTATTTAGATGTCTACAGTCCAACAGGAGTTCGAATTGGGCTCCCGAATCTATGACAAACTCCCAAAGCTAGCGGACATTCCCTATTTTCACAGCCTGATGGAAGCCTCCATCCTGTTCTGCAAAGCCATGTTGGCGCTAGGATGAATATATTCCCAGTTAGTATAAAGATCGCTTTGTTGAAGGGTGCCCTGTACCCCACAACGCCTTTCTTAACACTGTTGCCGCTCTCGAGTTTTTTGTAAGATAGCTGTCACCACAATCTAAAGATACACTGCGTAAACACAATGTTTGCATGTTTCCTGCATCTAGTAATTATTTATAAAGCGAATCTCATGTTGGCCAAACCGACGAAAAGCCACTTATATTTCATCACGTGTTTATCAGAATACTTAGATGTGCACATTTCAGACCTGTCAAACTTCACATCGTCGAAAACTGAGATATTCATGTCTGATAACACACTTCTGTATTATTTTACCATCTTAATCAGACACTGAAACTGTCTACTGCATGAATCCGTGGAGTGTCAGTGTTATTTAAGGGTTTCGTATATAAAAAACATCTTGCAAAATTAACCAAATTGGATGTCGGTGGAGTGAAACTGACGCGATGTGAGTGTCTAGCTGTGGCTAACAATCAACAGCCATGCTGTCTTGCAATCAACTCAAAATGTCTACGAGCTATCATGATTATTTAATCTGTAATCAAAATACCTCCATCGTGAAATTCAAGTACATGTATACTGTGATAAATATGAAACTATCACATATTTCTTTATCTGTGTGGGAAAACCATGGCCACATTGTTATGGAGCAATCACAGGTTCATCAAATCATGCAGACCAGCTGGGACTGACACAGATGTTTTTCGTTCCCGCCCAGGAGATAAACACTTCAAGCTTTATGCCGCGTTTTATATATCACATCTAGGCCTTTAGCCTTATGTAATCCGACCCTTTGTCAACAAAGGAGATACTACATCGTTCTTTATTGCACACATTACTATTTTGCTTCTCCCCCAACAACCAAACGTTTTCAGAACTTCATTTCAAGAAGTTGAAAAAAACCCCGACCCGATTCTTTCATATTACTGTAATGGTGTATTCATCAGCGCGCTAAAAGTCACGGCATGTCAGTTTAACTAATGTGATATGAAAGCATCAGGTTGTCCCAAAGTTCTATTGAGTGTGACATTAGCAAATTTGTTCCGCTATCCCTTTCTTGGATTAAGCGTTACTTTACGCCACAGTCATATTACGGCTCCCTGTAGAAATTTGAGTAGGGTCAGACAAATGTTCAAACAGGATACATTCACCTCTACACGAAAACCTGGTATCATCACTGTATTGATTCATAACATTGTGCTGAACACACACTTCTGATCGTAGGCGGAATTGTTCAATAGATTCTGCCTTTATTAAGGGATTTCCAACGGTTATGGAAATGTTGCTTGTTGCTGTCATTGTATGGATAACATATTTCACAAGTTTTTCTTGTCATAATTGAGTGAGTGAGTGAGTTGGGTTTCACGCCGCTTTCAGCAATATTCCAGCAATATCACGGCAGGGGACACCAGAAATGGGCTCCTCACATGCCATCCATGTGGGGAATCGAACCCGTTCCCTCGATGTGACGAGCGAACGCTTTAACCACTTGGCTACCCCACCGCCCCTGTCATAATTGGCGCAAATGGCATGGAATGAAGCATATTATTTAAAAAATATTAATTAAGCTTTTAGTGATATTTTAAAAAGACTGAATGTCCCGGGACTGTTCTGGACAGTACAGCATGTCTGCCAATACACATCCAGTGAAGTCCAATCAGTACATTCTACAGGCTCTAAAATACGATGTAATACAACATGAGAATATTGAATTTTTCGTGTAGACGAGAAGATGAAATGGATCACATATTGAATTACCAATTCATGATTTGCACAACGTTAAAGGAACTCATCGATTCCTATCGAAAGGCTATAAGACCCCAAGAAGAAGTGGCAGCCATCAAAGAAAACATATGTGAACCGTTGGACTTTTCATTGATAACATTTTCGTAAAATGTCTGTACCAGAACTTGTAGGGAGAAGTACTCATCCCCATGGGAACCAATTGTGCTTCCCTACCTGCTCATGTGTGTCTATATGCAAGGTCTGCATGGAATTGCAAGGTCGGAATAAATAAATGTGGCCAAGAAGTTGAAGTGAAGCTTCAGGTATACCCCGGATCTGATATCGTTCAAATAGCAGCATTCCTCACAAAGATTTACCCACCCGTGAAGATCTGGGTTAGAATTTGTCTTCCGTAACCCCTGCGACTAACGGGTGGTCATGCTCGCTGACTTGGTTATTATTATTATTATTGGATATTTATATAGCGGACATATCCACAAACGAGTGCATGCTGAAGGCGCTGGTATTTGTTTTTTCCTCGATCATTGGATGTCAATCTCAAACGGCACATCGTATTATCAATCTCAGCTCCCTGTGGAACATACAACTCTTGCTGACACAAGGCGCACCGAGTTACGGCGGCTTTCTCATCCTTACGGGGTACCCATTCACAGCTGGGTGGACTGGGACACATAGTCACAGTACTTTGTCCAAGTTTACTGCACGTTGCTGTACCCGCAACTTGGTGTTTGCACGTATTCATGTGGCCACCATCTGGTCATATACCAACGGATTCGTGGGTTCTTTTAAGTGCACAGGGTTGTGTACTGTACACTAGGGGTTGTGACAACACTGAAAGAGTCTGCACACAAAGTTGACTCCAAGGTCTTTACACCCGGTCACAGGTGGGCTCGATCCTGGCACCTCATGCTCGCTGGATCACTAGCCTGGCGCTTTAGCCAGCTCGCCCACCACGCACTTGGTTGACACATGTCACCGGTTCCCAATTGCGTAGATCGATGCTCATGATGTTGATCACTGGATTGTCTGGTCCAGACTCGAATATTTACAGACCAATGCCATATAGCTGGAAATAGCTGAGTGCGGCGTTAAACAACAAACCAGCCAACTCATGGATCTACCCGCCTGAATTGAACAAGAAAACCAGTGATGCCGTCTGTTTCAAATTAGATCAATCATTATAAACGATTCAGGGTGACAAAAAACTAAAAAACACAAGACTTTATAACAAGAGGGGTGACTTCAACTTTCCATTAGTCAACCTTCCCTTTATGCACTGCAATATTCCAGCAGCTCCGGCCTACACTTCACACATTTAGAGGTACATCGACGATGATCTTTCTTTAATGAACGTTATACAACTCTTGCTCAAAACTGTCGCCTCAACGTACAATATTCAAAGCATCAGAAAAGTTACCAAAAAGTCAACCAAAAATGATGTCTGATACGAATCTCTGTTTTGACCGTTGCATCGGTTTGTGACGGGTGTCACTTGGAGGGAAGATATGCTCGTCTTTCAGCGAACACCTGGGCCCCGTTTCACAAAGCTATGACTGTCGTACCTCCTATACTGTAACATAGACTTACGACAGTCGTAGCGCTACGATAACTTTCTGAAAAGGGGGCCCTGGTATCGTCACTATTTCATGGTGCTTAATGAACACACACTCATGACCGAATTGTACAACAGAATCTGCGTTTGGTGGATATTCTCACGTATATGGAAAGGGTTTTGTCGCTTTCGTTTCTATTTAATATTACCCGTGAAGATTCGGGTTAGAATTGGCCTTGAGCAACCCATGCTTGTCGTAAGAGGCGACTAGCTAACGGATCGGATGGTCCAGCTCGATTGACACATGTCATCGCATCCAAATTGCGTAGATTGATGCTCATGCTGTTGATCGCTTGATTGTCTGGTCCCCTCGATTATTTACAGACCGCCGCCATGTAGCTTGAACATTGCCGACTGCGGTGTTAAACAACCAACCAAACAACAAATCAATACATTATAATGGCACAAACACAATTACTTTAGTAAATACTGTATAATGTCATGTGTAATCGTTGTACAAAGTCTACAATAATATTTGTGAAAGGACCGCTTAATGGATAACTTTATGTTCCCCGATCCAAAGATGTCCGCCCCCGTGATCTAGTGCTGTGAGAACGTTCGATCGCTGCTTCCAACCCCTCCGCGCCATACCAGAAGACGTTAAAAGAGGTTACCTGTTGCTCTGTCTGGGATCCAGCATTAAGGGGATTGAACACGGACTGGTCCGCTCGTAGACGGTATACTATTTCTGAGTGGGTGTTAAAAGACGTCATGGTATTTGATGCGCTGTAAAACTGGAATCTGTTGGGACTACAGCCAGCAGCCAGGCTCAGGAAGGTTACAAAATTGAAGGTATCTGTGAAGTTTCCCAAAAGTCAAATTTGATACATGAGTGACAAAATGCTGTTGGTTTAAGGAACGTGTGCACGGACACGCACGTTCACGAACGCACACGCACACATACATACTCATAAATGTGAAAGTGCAATAATGTTGAACGCGACGTCCATAACCCTTTCACCTCATCCACCTGATCCCTTCACAATACGCCTTGATTACGCCAGGGAGACAAATCAGCCCATCGTCAAGCCTATCTCCCCAGTATGCTATGCCCTGTGAGCACTAACTGGCGTATCGATCCGGGACAGAGCTGAACAATGCTTTTATCAACAGAACATAAAATGTTTGCGATGATCTACACACGTTGCGGCACATAGGTAACAAACACACAGAACCCACGAGGAACAGTAACCACAAAAGTAAACATGAATCTCAAGAAGGGATTTCGCTGACAGTCGATCGCCATCCTTCTGAACTTTATTCCTTAAAGGGTGTCCTTATGCCTCAGGTGAAATCTCGGGACCATCTTTGATTGGTCGTCGACTCGTTCACATGGGTTTCCCCTACTGTTCCACAGTCACGTGACCAGGTCACCGTCAGCCGCGAGTACTGTCAGTAGTTTTAATAAGGGCGTCACGTTCTTTGCATATTGATAACCGGCGCGCAGCTCTCTCGCTGATCAGCTGTTAGGCCTGGTGGTAAATGGAATCTGTATCGCGGCTTCAGTGATAGAGCCCTCTTGTGAGAGCTGGCTGGCCCTCGCTGGGCTAACACAGACATGGGAAATAATCAGTCCATCTCCTGCTTGGTGGACCGACCTCAAGCTCAGCTCAGCACGTACCTGACTCCGAAACAAATCAAACTGGTTCAAGATTCCTGGGATGAAATCAAAGATGACTTGCCTACGTTGGGAGTTACCATATTTCTTAAGTGAGTATTAACCTTGTTTGTAAGCGTAATTACAGGTGCGAGAAGTACACACGCTAATGAAAGCTTTCCACCTGGGTGTTATAAGTGAGTTGGCGCTGTATATGATCGCTTTACTTACATGTCAGTGTACTTTGAATTAGGGTATTGATATATAGAAAGATCAGTGGCAGCATTTTGTCCATCATATGACAAGTTGTTGTAGTTTGGTATGACAAGTTGTTGTAGTGTGGTATGACAAGTTGTTATAGTGTCATATGACAAGTTGTAGAGTCGTATGACAAGTTGTTGTAGTGTCCTATGACAAGTTGTAGTGTCGTATGACAAATTGTTGTAGTGTCATATGACAAGTTGTTGTAGAGTCGTATGCCAAGTTGAAGTGTCGTATGACAAGTTGTTGTAGTGACGTATGACAAGTCGTTGTAGTGTCGTATGACAAGTTGTTGTTAGTGTCCAACTTATATGCCCATAACTCTGATTTTTGTAATTTTGTCTAAACAAACCGAAAAATCACAAGATATAAGTTATAGATTTTGAATTCCCAACGTGTATATTATATGAAATTTACACTGACGGTAAATGTTCGCAGTCCATGAAATGATTCAATATAAACATGAATGGGTAGCTTTAAGTGTAAGCTGGTGTGATTCTACAAACATCCTGATTCAGGTCCAAACAGTTATGATATTTAAAAAAAAGGGTTCGATATTTATTTATTTTAACAAGGACCTTTTTCAAAACAGCATATCTAATAAAACACCGGTAGAAGTGGGTGCGCGCTCGCGTGTGTGTGTTTATAAACGTGTTCATATATATTGCAAAGAATGACGTTCAACCTAGAAATACGACGAGAGCTAATTGAACAGTTACGTGCTTCACGCAAGGATGTTACGTAATCTGTATCAGAGCGCGGACACCAGAAATAGGATTTACACATCGTGGCCATATGTGGAATCGAACCCAGGCCGTCACGAGCGAACACTTTCATAACTAGCCTAATCTTGAGTTTATGGATCTTCACAATGACTTTATTTTTTATGTTGGGAAGACGGAAACCACGAATAACATCGCGACATTACGATTATATATATGTTGATGTGAAGACAAACCAACTGAAACAAACTCCATACGTTAGTCAATTACAATCGCGGGATCCAACGACCTAGAACTAATTCATAAACATACATTTTGTGAAAGATGTACTTTGGAGTGAGTGAGTTGGGTTTTACGCCGCTTTTAGCAATATTCCAGCAATATCACGGCTGGGGAAAATGGGATTCACACATTGTACCGATGTGGGGAGTCGAACCCGGGTCTTCGGCGTGACGAGCGAACGCTTTAACCATTAGGCTACCCCACCGCCCCATGTACTTATGGAACTGTTTCCACTGTTTGGTACTGATTCCCAAACACTTGGTCAGGTTATAGTTAGGATCGTGCAATGGCCACTGCTTTTAGCAGAAATTATGAAAAGGGTATTGTTGTTTTTTCACATCGATAATCATAGTGGACATGACAAAATCAGACAATACAACAATTCGTTTCAAACTGTACTCACACGAGAGCACATATAACATGACAAAACAATCAATGTTGATAATTATGTCTTCAGTGTTTTCTTCCGGGACAACAAGGTCCGCGACAACAGATAACTAGACAGTGCGAACAACCAGCGAGCTGATCAGCAAGTTTATTGACCTAATGATCGCGGAGAATGTTTGCCGACATTGGCAGTAATGTTAGCTGAACGGGTGAAGAAAGCAATTAAGTCATACATAGTTGCCAGTCTGATCGGTGCTTAAACTGTTATATAATGCCACAGGGTTTAATCACACAAATCTAGGTTTATTGTAAATCCAGCTTCTGTCGTTAGTATCATATATTTATTCAGAGTCTGTTGTAATCGATATTTGCCTCACATAGAAGACATACAAAGGTTCCCTTTTCGAAGGAGGTTTATACAAACACAGCTTGATTATGTTGAGCTTGGGGTAGCATAACAGTAAAAGTGTTGGTTCATGGCGCTGTTCCGGGTTTCATTCCCAAAATGGATATAATGTGTGAGGAAGTGATATTGCTGGAATGTGGCTATAAGCAATAGGAACTTTCTTATTTATACCCTTGACGCGTCGGACATGTTACATAGGGACATCTAGTTCCAGATACCTGTCTTGAGAAAGACCCAACAAGAATAATGACTGCAGTTTTGTTTTCTACCGAAATTGAAAACAATGCGTAATGTCGCAATTCATCATCATGAAAACTTGTATTTTCCCTGTTAACTTATCATCTGGTTCACATTTTACCTGTCTTGATAAAGACCCAACAAGAATATGGACTGCAGTTTTGTTTTCTACCGAAATTGAAAACAATACGTAATGTCGCAATTCATCATCATGAAAACTTGTATTTTTCTCAGTTACCTTATCATCTGCTCCACATTTTAGCTGTCTTGAGAAAGACCCAACAAGAATATGGACTACAGTTTTGTTTTCTACCGAAATTGAAAAAAAATACGTAATGTCGCAATTCATCATCATGAAAACTTGTGTTTTCCCTGTTAATTTATCATCTGGTTCACATTTTACCTGTCTATGTTGCGTGTCTGCTGGTTCAAGTTCTGATTGCTACTCCGTGGCCATAGACGAGTAACATTGTAAGTTTCATGTCTGTCTGCTGTGGAGTAATGAAAACATGGACAACGCTTAACTCTATCGTTAATCATATACAGTTTAATATGAATTTTATTGAATACATCCATTAAGACGAGGAAAACTTGAGTGTCTAACATAATGTAAAATTACATGAATTATTGAATCGGGTGTTAATGCGCTGGTAAGTATTATATAATTGTCTTACACAGACTTAGAAAAACATTTGATGACTTGTGACTAGATCGTCGAGTAGTTTTGACAGCGATGTAGCTTCTAGATATCCCTTGTCATACAATTTCTCTCAAGTATATATTTGAATTCCCGACCATAATGCTTAAAGCGAGACCATACTTGCATTGTGAAAGTTGAAGTACCAGTCAACCAAAAGCGTAATTGAAACACGGAACCAGTCAGGAAACTCCTTGAAGTTGAAGATGAGGCTTGGTGTAGTCTCTACAGCTCTACTTGAGACTGATTGCTGTACGCTTTAAATGAAGTAGCCCCCTCAATCACTTCCGGTTATCAGGTGCAACATTGTGGCAGTATTTCACTGGGGTTGCTGGTCGAGAATCTTAACTGAACTGTACAATGGGATATGTGGAATGTAATAAACTTGAGAGTATCTGACTGTCTCAGTTGGAGACTAAGAGTGAGAATGAGCGATACACTGGGACCATGCAGCTGGCAATTCGACACTGTAGGTGTACGTCTTGATCACAGTCTGTTGAGATTAGATTACAATCTACTGCTCATCGGTTTGGACATATTGCACAAACTCTGTCGATCTAACGAGGGATGAAGCTGATGATTCAACATTGGAATATAGATAATTACCTTATTTACATTTGGAGATATTATCCAGTCTAATTATGTTTTCACAGGAAGTCGGATTGTAAATTTTGAATAGAAATGAGGAAGAAAAGATAAACAAGGAGTGCAGAAAACTTAATTTTAGGGAACATTGAGTACATGTTTGTAGTTTCTGGAAGCACGGTTAAAACCTCATGTTTGTTGGTAGGAGATTATGATTACATTAAATTTTAAATTCACTTCAGACAACTGCTCAAGAGATAAATACCAAAATGCCATAGCCAATATTAACGAATAGATTGAACCTACTCTCGTCTTTGTCTTTGAGAGATGAATGGGTGATAGACTTGTTTGTAATTATATCACAAAATATAGAGATGGGTATTTTATTAAAGCAACTTGGTGCTTTTAAAACCCCATATATTAAATGCCCAGTCATTCAAGAGAACTGAACTGTAACTTTTGGAAATATCAATGTCCCTATTGTCGAGGGCCACCTATTACACAAATTTATACCACGGTCAAGATGAAGATGAAGGAGAATGGATATCCATTACAAAAACAACGTTTTTATCATTTGTAACAAAGTCCATATCCCTCCTTCGGGTGAGATGAAGTTGATATCCATAAAATGTGTGTCACGTCTTTAGGTTCTGCCAATTTGTAAATGCCAATCAGATACTTCGTATGTTAACGGAAATTTTATATTTCCCCTTTGACGTGCCCAAAGGCTTCTTATCCCAGTCTCACCAACAAAGGCGTGTAAAGCTCCTTATTGGATTAAGTGCCATTAGGTTTTCGCTCGGTCCAAACAAATTTCAGGATAACACAGAATAAGTGACCACTGGCGATCCACTATATGGTCGCTGTACATCGTATAAACATCGTGTACAGCCATTGGCCGCGTCGTACGAAATCCCGGTTTCCATTCCACTCTTATCATGCGTCAAAACACCCAGTGCAACTGCACAAACAATAGATAAAATAGTATTAAACGCACCTACCATTAAGAGTCAAATGTAATTTAAAGTATACGGAATGTCAGATCCTATTTAAACAAGGCTTAGCCGTAAGCTGCCAAGCCTGAGCTGGATCAGACATGTGTTAAAGGCACACTACAGATGACGTGTCAGGGATTAAGGTGACTTACACATCTGGGAGCACGCTGAAGCTGAGTCAAAACAGATCCCTGGCCAACAGATAATGCTGAACTGTCAGGTTGCATTACGAGCAAGGTGCGGTATCTGGAGATGTGGGATCCGTATGAAGGTCCTGTCGTGTTTATCTGAGCATGTTTTTGTTTTGGTTTAATTTTTTATGTAAATCTGACTGCATATCAGCGTCTCACACCTTATCATTCATCTATCTGATTTCATTCAAGAAATAATTAATATTGCCACTTCTCCCTGGCTGTGATTGTTTGTCTGTCAAATGAATAACAGTGATCAAACGTCAAAGACTTTTTAGCATTCCTCCAAAACAAAATGAACAACACAATTGTCGTAGTAACCGAACGTACTACAGACATCTGCGATGCCT